AGCCTCACTAGAAGCTGATGCTGCATAACTGACCACCAAGTTCAATGAATGACAACTGCATGGGACAAAAAAAGCTCAAGGGTTTAACTCTCGGATCCGTGTCTGCACTCCTCTGGTTGGCACCATTATCGTAGTCCTGACCTCTCATGTCAGCTATCGCAATTCCCGTATCTTCCAGCTTTTTAAGAAGCACATTTGTCATACCAGCTCCTGTAGTATCATCAATGTCAATAAATTCTAGAAAATGCTCTCTGACAGTCACCATTGCAGGGACATTTTCTCTAGGTTCTGTTGTTGTTACAAAACGCACCATTAAAGTCATTTGTTCCATATGGCTGATGTCAGGTGTGCAGTCCAGAATAACAGAGTAATATGTGGCAGATCTGAAGTCAGCAAGAATCTTCTGTTTGACTTTTGTTGCCAGTAACTGTATGATCTCATTTTGAATTGTTTTTCCAAGGTAGTGGTGTGTGTACTTTTTTTGGGTGGTGACTCTTCTTAGCTGCTCCTGGAGTACAGCATCAAACTCAGCCATCAGCTCCACAATTGTAAGGAAGTTTCCATTGTTTGGCACATACAGCTGATCTGAAGTGCCACGCAGTGCTAGGTTTTGGGTAGCAAGCATTCTCACAACAGCAATGAACCTTTTCAGAACATTTTGCCAGTAAAGAGACTCTAATGCAATCTTCTCTTGATGCTGATCATCTATGGTGGCCTTTAACCTTAGTCTCATCTCAAGCTCTTTCCATCTATGGAATGCCCTCTGGTGATTTGCTGCCTTCTCATGGCATACCAGATTTCTACCCAGATTTTTCAGTCCTTTGTTCCTGTAGAACCCAATGTGGCTGGAACATTAGACTGGAAGAGTTTGCCACAAAAACAGTATGCAGCATTCTGGGTTTTTGAGTACATAAGCCATGGCCTCTCCAATTTGTCACCATTGGGGATTTCACGCCAGTTATGTGTTGGATGGAAACTTCTATTTTCATTGTCTTTGGGGAACATGAAGTTTTTCACTTGCTGTGGCCTGTGCAGTACAAGGAAGTCCCTCAGGCTACTGCTCAAGTGGGTCCACTGTCCTAGATCATCTAGACTTAAGGAACTAAATTCAGCAGCAGCTGTTTCTTGCACCTCCACCACACTCTTCTCTGATCTACACTTTTCTTCAGGAATGTGCATGGTTACATCCATTTGAGATGGAAATATGGATGCTGCAGAAGCTGCCAGGTCACCTGCACTCTAACTGGAAGATCAGGTATCTCCTCACCACTCACATCCTCACTGGGGCCGGAAGGCTCACCGTGAACATTTGTGTCTATGTATCTCAGGACAGCTCTTCTGCTTAGATAGAAAAGCTTCCTTTGCTTTCTTTCTTTTTCTGAATGCTGCCCTAGAGGGGCGTTTTCCTCTTTCACTCATGACTGCTGTTCTGTGCCAGCTATAATGGCTCTCAACACTCAGTTGAAGAGGACAAATAAGCAGGCTGGTAGCAGGACCTGAGTGAGGGAAGATATCAGCATCTTAAGGGCCTAACTGGCTCCTACTACTTCAGTTGACTGCCTGTTCTCCCAAGTAGGTTCAGGGAAGCAGCAGGAAACAGGAAGCTCCTTGAGAAGCTGGTGTTAATCAGTCCAGGCTCCTGGGGGTGCTAGAAAGGTACATAAGAAGTGCCTCCTCCTCTCTCTCTCCCAGCAACTCCTGCTGTTTTCTGTTATTCCCTCTCACCTTTTCTCCTGCCTGCCTGTTATGTCTCTTGTGCCCTCCTTCCTCCAGCACAGCACTCCACCATCTCTGTGCATCTAGAGCAGAGAGAATACATATGCACCAGCAGCAGCCACAATTTTCTACACTCTGGGTTCTAGTGGTGCCCTCCACATTCTGGCACCTCAGGCAGCAGCCTCAGTTCGCCTCATGGTGAGACAGCCCTGTTTGAAGTCCTTTATATTCATGTTAAATTCTCTGAAACTGTATGATAGGTAGATGCTGTGATCTTTGTACTAACTTCTCCTTTGTATATGTGCTGCAGAATGCAAGTCCAGCAAAAATAAGGTACAAGCAGCTTGTAAAATGCACTTTAAAAAACCAATTTCTAGGTGTTATGATATACCTGGCTTCTACAATATAGATTAAGTTAGGTTAGAAAAACTTTGTAATTTCTATAATGTTAGCCAATATTAATACAATATTAACATTATATATAATATCACATATATTTCTTGAATTGCCCTCATCTTAAGATCTTCCAAAATGCTTTTTTATTTACGTTACAGAAAGAGATAGCTGAAGTATTGTAATATCAGGGCTAGGCAAAAACATAGCAGAAAAATAGGTAATACTATGCCTTTAATGTTCAAAACAAAATTCTAGTCTTGAGTACATGCTTCTCCATTTTTGTTTAATGCCTGGGGTCTGTATAACAGTCAAAATGTAAAATATATGCCATGTTGAAACTTACAACATCCCCCACATAGAAAGTGTAGCAATTACTGTCTATGAAAAACATGTCACAGAAAATAGAAAAGATATATTAGATAAAGTGATGTAGGGAAAATTGTGAAACTCCCCAAACTTAGGTATAAATACAGGAAGGGTAAGCACAGGATCTTTGAGACAGTGTGAGCACTGCAAGTCCTGTCTTCCAAAGGGATTGGTAACGTAAGCACTCTTCCTTTCTGTATTATGCTGTATTAATCCTTGACTAATAATCCTTGATTAATAAATTGATTAAGACTAGTTATTGGACATCTCATTATTAATTTATATTGCACCCACAAGTGTGATCATGTCAGTTCATTGCACAATTTGCAGTATGCCGTTCTTCACTGTTTCAAAGTAGAAATGTTAAATTCCTACTGTTTCCTTAGGAGCATGCCCAATAATTGGAATATTCTTTCCTGCTGGCTGAACTCCACTTGAACTTCTTCCATGTCATCATAGAGGGGTGGGGAAAAGACATATATAAAATAAGATATTACCGTTTTAGCAAACGGTCATTTGTCTCAAAGTCCCCAATAAATCTGAGGTACATTCTGTCAAACAAAGGTAATATCCAATTATGAGACTAAACTGACTTCAGGACAAAGAGAAAAACCCACAACACAGAGGGGTGGAAGACACTTACAGTTTCCTATAAAATGAAATTCCAGAGCAGGTTATGTCTGATAACTCAAAATCAAAACAGATTCTCCCGTTGCATTCTTCTCTGATCAATTCAATTTTCCTTCACTCTGTGCCACCTCATTATTATTGAGTCATGTTACTTATAAAAGATTTAGCTTCATCACAAGAGAGAAAAGCAGCCAACCTTCCCATCTGCAAACAATCCCAGCTCAGCAGGAAAAAGCCCAGAAGCAGCTTTGCCAATAGATGGAAGCAGAGATGAAAGCACAGAATGACAACTCTGTGTTTGGGATCCATTTAAATCCCCCTTCCTGTGACACTTTCATCTCTGATCCTAAATCCGATGCACTGGGGCTAAAGTGTGACACCTAAGCACAGAGAGTGCTCAGAACATGGCATCACATGACACACTGGGAGGTGCACAGGTGGAACATGGGAAGGGTAAATGCTATTGTGGCTTACACAGAAGCTAATGCTGCTGGGGTGAGGGGGGATTGTGACAGTGATGGGGAAGGAGGGAATCCCTTTGACTCACCCCATCTCCTTCGGGTATCACAGAGGCTGAAATGACACATTTTTCCTACCCCACTTTGTTCTATTTCAATCTATTATACATGAGGAAAATGGTAGAAAAAATATTTTTTCCTGCAAAACCCCGAGCAAGGTGAGAACAACTGGGATTGAGACAATTTGTCTCCAAAGGGGAACTCGATGACTAACAATCACTTTGTAATGGGGAAATAGTATCGACGTGATGCTCGCGTTTGTCTAGACTAGGAAAAAAGATGGAGGTGAGCTCGGCCAAGCTAACCCCAGCCACTGTACCCGGGTTATATCTGCACTGCAAATGTAGTTGTGTTGTTACAACAAGATCTCTAAACTGAGCACCTACATCCATGTACAATACCGGTGGAGACAAGGCACAGGCCGTTTTTACATCAGTGTTGCTAGTCAAGGGGGAGGGATAGCTCAGTGGTTTGAGCATTGGCCTGCTAAATCCAGGGTTATGAGCTCAATCCTGGAGGGGGCCATTTAGGGATCTTGGGCAAAAATCTGTCTGGGGATTGGTCCTGCTTTAAGCAGGGGGTTGGACTAGATGACCTCCTGAGGTCCCTTCCAACTCTGATATTCTATGATTCTAAGGTCAACCGTATTTCCTGCATGTGGTGCTGATGGGTATTTCTGGCAGGCGAAGGACACACTCCCAGGACTTATAAAGTAAAGGATGATGGGATTCACCCCGAAGGAGGAGGTGTAAAAGACAGAGGCAGGCAACTCACGTGGAGCTGAAAGATCACACTGAAGAAAATGGTACAAAGTATGTGGGAATTCGCTAATGTATTTTAGAAAAAATCTTTGGCCAGCCCTAGTTAGACATTTATGGCGGCGGTTCTCAACTGGAGGTCCGGGGGCTCCTGGGGTTCTGCGAGCCTTTTCAGGGAGTCTGCAGGGCCCCATAGCTGAAACCCCAAGTCCCAGCGCCTGACCACAGGGCTGAAACCAGGAGTGGTGTGGGGCCAAAGCCCCATCCCTGGCACCCCCCCACAGGGCTGAAGCCAGGGGCGACACGGGGCTGAAACCCCAAGCATAGGCACCGACTCCGTGCCTGGAGAAAAATTTTCTCCCTGGAGAAAAATTAGTGGGTGTTGAGCACCCACCGGCAGCTCCCAGTGGCCCCGCCCCACCCCCTGCTCCAGCTCACCTCCGCCTCCTCCACGAGTGCGCCGCCACGTCCTGCTTCTCCTCCTCCCTCCCAGCGTTTGTGCCATGAAACAGCTGATTCGCGGGGCAGGGAGGGAGTGGGGAAGAGGGGGAACACGGCGTGCTGGGGGAAGAGGCGGGGCTGGGACGGGGATTTGGGGAAGGGATCCAATGGGGCAGGGAGGGGGTGGAGTCAGGGTGGGGACTTTGGGATGGGGTTGGAATGGGGGCGGGGCCAGGAGCGGGGAAAGGGTGGAGTCAGGGCAGGGCCAGAGGTGGGGAAAGGGGCGAGGGGTGCGGGCACCCACTGGCGCCGGAGAAAGTTGACGCCTATGACCCCAAACTCCCCCCCTCCCAACCACTGAAGCCAGGAGCAGCACGGGGCTGAAACCCTGAGCTCCCCTCTTCCCCCGCCCCCCCAAATCTGGGAACAGTGCGGAGCTGAACCCCTGAGCTCCCCTCCCTCCCCTGAAGTCAGAGCGGCAGGGAGCTGAAACACTGAGTTCTCCCCGCTAAATCCAGGAGCGGCACAGGGCTGAAGCCCTGAGCCCAAGAGCAGAGTTGAGGGGGCACGAGGGTGTTGCCTCCCCAAACTGCAGTGCCTTATGAAGAATGGGGCAGTCCTGGGGGCAGCTCCACCCCCCACCTCCTCCACTCCCTCAGGCTCCACCCACTGACCAGGTCAGAGATGGGAAGCCAGAGCCAGGCAATGCGGGACAGCCACTCTTCTGGCTGCTGGTGTCATGGAGTGGGTAGCCCTGGCATTCCCCCATCTGCTGCTGGTGCCCGGGGTTGCGGCTGCTCCTCAGCTCCCAGCCCCCTTTGATTGCTCACACAGCCAGTTACAGCTGCCCAGGTAGGGACCTGGCTCCGGGGCTAGCAGAGCCCTCAGGGAGCAGCGACCAGAACACAGCCCTAGACAGGTGAGTGGTCTGCTGAAGTGAGTCATGTGTAGGGTGGCGCTCCCTCCCCGGACCCTGCTGTGCGGAACTGGCCCGAGCCCTGCTGGCCCTTGCCCCCCCAAAATAGAAGTCAAACTCCCCCTATGCCCAAGGATGCAACCCCCGGGCCCAGAGCCCCAAGTTGCTACCCACTCCCGCTGGGCCCTGGAGTTTTTATAGCATGTTATGAGGGCCTCAGAAATAAAAGGTTGAGAACTCCTGATTTAAGGCATTACTCGCCTGAGTGGATTCTCTTATGTTTGATGAAAATTGAGCTCTTATTAAAACTCTTCCCGCACTCAGGGCATGTGTAGTTTGTCACTCCTCTATGGATTCGCCGATGACTAATAAGGGCTGAGCTCCGATTGAAGCTTTTCCCACACTCAGAGCATGAGCAGAGTGTCTTCCCTACATGGATTCTCTGATGTGTGATAAGGTTTGAGCTCCGACTGAAGCTTTTCCCACACTCAGAGCACTTGTAGGGTCGCTCTCCCGTGTGGATTCTCCGATGTGTGATAAGGTGTGAGCTCTGGCTGAAGCTTTTCCCACACTCAAGACAGGTGTAGGGTGTCTCCCCAGTGTGAATTCGCCGATGTTTGTTCAGGTTTGAGCTGTGGTTGAAGGTTTTCCCACAATCAGGGCATGTGTAGGGTTTCTCTCCTGTGTGGATTCTCCAGTGCCTAATAAGGTCTGAACTCTCATTGAAGCTTTTCCTGCACTCGGAGCATATATAGGGCGTTTCTCCTGTGTGGATTCTCTTATGTGTGATAAGGTTTGAGCAGTGATTGAAGCTTTTCCCACACTCAGAGCATGTGTAGGGTCGCTCTCCTGTGTGGATTCTCCGATGTGTGATGAGGTGTGAGCTCTGGGTGAAGCTTTTCCCACACTCATGGCAGGTGTAGGGTGTCTCTCTAGTGTGGATTCTCCGATGTGTGATCAGGTTTGAGCTGTGGTTGAAGCTTTTCCCACACTCAGGGCATGTGTAGGGTTTCTCTCCTGTGTGGATTATCCAATGCCTAATAAGGTCTGAACTCTCACTGAAGCTTTTCCTGCACTCAGAGCATGAGTAGGGTGTCTCACCCGTGTGGATTCTCTCATGTGTGATAAGAGCAGATCTCCGACAGAAGCTTTTCCCACACTCAGAGCACATGTAGGGTGTCTCTCCTGTGTGGATTCTCTGATGTGTGATGAGGTGTGAGCTGTGATTGAAGCGTTTCCCACACTCAGGGCATGTGTAGGGCATCTCTCCAGTGTGGATTCTCCGATGGGTGATCAGGGCTGAGCCATGACTGAAGCTTTTCCCACACTCAGAGCATGTGTAGGGTGTCTCTCCTGTGTGGACTCTCTGATGTGTGATAAGGTTTGAGTTCCGATTGAAGCTTTTCCCACATTCAGAGCATGTGTAGGGTCGCTCTCCTGTGTGGATTCTCCGATGTGTGATGAGGTGTGAGTTCCGATTGAAGCTTTTCCCACACTCGGGGCATGTGTACGGCCTCTCTCCAGTGTGGATTCTCTGATGTGTGATGAGGGTTGAGCTCTGACTAAAACTTTTTCCACACTCAAGGCACGTATAGGGTCTCTCTCCCATGTTCATTCTTTCATGTCTAATAATGTCAAATGTCTGATAATATACTGAAGCTTTTCTCTGACCTATGCTGACTCTCACAGGCTTTTGCCTCTGCACAAATCCAAGAAACTTGCCCTTTGGACCTTCCCGCTAATGTCACATGTGGTACAACTTGCTTAGCATATTTGTGCTGTTGATTCTACTCCTCGTTCTCACTCACCATCTGATCACCTGGAAGGATAGAGAGAGAATCCAGGCATCAGTCACTCCCTATGCTGGGGAGAAAGGAAACCCCAGAGAGGAATGGGAAAAGGTGGGAAGAAACCAAAATAAGTGCTGGAGACATCAAACAAAACAGGATTTGATTTGAACCCCTCCCCCAACCCACCCTGCCTAAAGTCCTTCCCCGGAGGACAGAGAAGAGAGGGTCATTTCTGGGTCCACATCCCATTCAGGGGTAAGGAATAGTTGGGGAGGAGCTACAGCCAGATGTCAGTCAGTAGAGGAAGGAAGCCAGA